TACATGTGTATATTCAGATGCATCCATGTGTTTCCTAAACCCTCAAAATCTCTTCTCGTCCTCATGGCTTAACAGTGTCTGCTTCGTAAGCTTTCCACAATTAATTAGGATAAATTAGACCCCATTGTGGTAAATACCCTTTCTAAATCCTCTGAAACAAAAAGCTTGATACTGGTCTGGCATGTTGCTCTGGAATGTAACAGCTTGCTTGTAGGCATCCTGGTCAAAAGCAGTGCATCTGTATTTAAAATATGAATATGTTAAAATGAAAGCAAAGCTTCAGAGTTGCAGGGCAGGCAGAGTGGAAGAATTTAATGGAAAGATCATTTGTTCTTGCTGATTTTCTTACACGTACTTAGCTAATACACAGACTCATGTGTGTAGTGGTGGGCAGACTAAATGTATTGCTCATTTGCCTAGCTGAACGTATATGAGCATGTGAGTCAGGGCATCAGAACTTTTCCCTGTGGGCTGGCTGACCTGTGAGCTGCTTATGGAGCCAGCATTTCAATGGGATCACAGATGCACACCCTACACAAAGACTCTTTCATAGACACCTTATTTATGCAGCCTTCTACCTCTGTCACGGTTGCACTACTGAGTGGAGTGCGGAGCAAGGAACAGAGGGAGATGAGGCGTACATCAATCCAGAGAATTTTAATGATAACAAGGAAAACTCACGTAGCACATGTAGACATAAACAAACACAGGTGGAGACTAATGAACTCAATGAAATAATCAGGACAGGAACATAACCAATAAAGGGCTAAACCCTCACAAAACACGGAACAAAGTCTGACATGACTCCCCCCTCCCGGAAGGCGCGTCCCGTGCCATATAACATCTAACGGGAGGGGGGGTGGGCGCTCTGGAGGCCTCTAGGAACAGGGTTAACGGACAGAAGGCCTCCAGGCCGGCGCCCGTTCCGGGACCCATGGCGGATCTGGCAGTTTGAGGCGCCATGGAGGATCTGGCAGTTCGGGGCGCCAGTCCTTCCCTGCAGCTTAGTCCCGTGGTGTCTGGGAGGTCCACGGGGCGATGGTAATTGGCTTTGAGAAAAACTTTCAAAATGGAAAAAAATGGGGAGAAGAGGCGCCGCTCACTTTCAGTCTGGTCCGGTATTCTGTCACGGTTGCACTACTAAGTGGAGTTTTAGTCAGATCCTAAACCATATTTTGTGTTCCATTGCGCTGAGTCGCACTATATCTCGATGCCTTGTTGCTGTGTCTCACAACACATTTTTAGGTGTTGTGTTAAGGTTCTTTAGGCACCCCTGCACTAATAAATAAAGAGGTATCATATCAATCACAAGTTATCATGCTTTAATTTTATGGAGAACCACAAGGCTCAGGACCACTGCTTCTCAAAAATCGGATGACTAGTAACTTAATAAATTCAAGAAAAAAATGTTTTGATTATTGAATCAAAAACGTCCACACACACACACACAAAAACAGAATACTGCTTAACCCTAGGCCTAGATGCTTAACTCTGTCAAGTTTTCGTCATCAGTCAAGAACCTGGGTGTGCTATATAACAGTGATCTGTCATCTGAAGGTCACATTTCTAGCATTTGTATAACTGTGTTTTTCAATCATAAATCTGTCTCTAAATTATGACATACATTATACTCTCAATGTCAGTTGTAGAAAAGTTAATTCATAAATTTATGACCTCAAGGCTAGATTGTAATGCATTACTGGGTGGCTGTCCTGCAAGCTTAGTACACAAAATGGAGCAGCTAGTTACTAGAACCACTACATTAGCTTTGTTCTGTCAGCGTTACATTAGCTGCCTATTAAACATCATACAAATTTTAAATATTTGCTGATTACTTAAGAAGCCCTGAATGGTTTAGCTCCTCAGTTTAGCTCCTCATTGAGCAAGTTCATATCACATTACAGACCTACATGTCCACTGAATTCTCAAAATTTTTGACATTTGATAATTGCTAAAATAACAACGTTGACTGTGGCTGCTAGATTCTTTTCCTATTTAGCATCCAAACACTGGAACAGTCTTCCTAGTGTTGTTGTGAAGTTTTATCAAAAAGGACATTCATCATGCTTAAGACCACCGATAAGCCAGTCTTATATTACTGGCAGACTACAGTACTATAAGTAGACTAAATCCTATAACAGACTACAACTCCTTCCCACCTAATGCTGGTGCGATGTATCTCAATATCATTTTATCAATATCATACCATGTTCGTTCGCTTCGGCCAGAAGAGAACTGGTCCCCTGACTGAGCCTGGATTCTCCTGTAAGTTTTTTTACAGATCACCTGATGGAATTTGGGCTTCTTGCCACTATTGCCTTTTGGCTTGGTTATTTGGGGTCTGAAGGACACTTAAATTTCAGAAGTTTATCGATATGACACAATTGGATGAGAACAAAACTTGAACTGAATTAAGCTGGATGATGGCACTATTGTGGCATCTTGCAACATTGACACTGTTATTGTTATTGAACTGAATTGAATGAACATTCAACTGCCTCCAGCTGAAAAAAGAACAACATTGATGTCTTTTTTTTTTAGAAATGCTTATAGCTGAATTGTCCTCATTTTTAATCAAATTGATGAAACTGATGAACTTCACATTGTTATTGTCAGACCTGAACCAACACTGAAGTGATTGAGCTGAATAATGAAACTATTATCTTTTTAGTCTGAATTTTCTCCATAGTTGAGTTTCCATAATTGAATCTGTTGTTATCCTGTTTATCACTGTGAAGATACTTTGACACAATCTGTATATCTATAGAAATAAAAGTGACTAATTGCAAATATTTTCATAAAAATATAATCTATGAAATGTAATTATAAATAATTAAATATACTTAACCCTCTGGTGCTCTTCAGTCTCTTTTGTCCGAAAAATTTTCTGTTTTGAATTTTTAAAAATCACAGCTTCATTGGAATGGCACGATACTTGGTGACTTTTATGTCATTTGGAATGTGAACACACAAAAAAAATTGAGGGCATGATTCGAGCAGGCTAAGTGGTCGTAAAAAAAATAGTCACACTTGTGGTCTTCGGTCAAAAATGACCGACCATAGGAAATGAATGGAAAATCAACAAAAACACAAAAAATTCAGAGAACAATCTAAAAATCTGCCACAATGCAGAAAAAATCACAGCAATGACGGGGTGAAACTCTAAAACATCAAGAGTGCAAAACCAACACATCCACTCACACACACACGTGTACACACACTTATACACACATACCTTTGAACTGGTGTGACTGTAACACAGCAAATATGTAAAATAAAAGCAATAATTCAACTACAATGCAGTAAAGAAGTGGACAGCAAGGAAAGGGTTTCACTTTAAAACATCAAGAGTGCAAAACAGACACATCCACTCACACACGCACACACATACACACATACACAATTACTGTGAATTGGTATGGCTATAACCATATAGCCAAAACGAGTCAGAAAACTGAAATCAGATCAGACCCAGAAGATTTAAGCTCTGATAAAACATTCCTGTTCATTTTTGTTACATTTTTATAGAATTTTAATGTTTTGTGTAACAAAATGCTTTCTCTGTGTTCAGGTTTGACTGTAGTAATAATAATTCAAAAACTGACGATTCAAATCAACATTTAAAAAAAAAAATCTAAACCTTTTCAAAAAGTTCTTTGAAAATGTTTAAATATATATCTAAACCCACAACTTAATAAAAATAAGTATTTATGTCTAAAAACAATTAGAGAATGTATAGGCCTTTATATAGAGGTATATAGGAATCTATGGGCTAAACCATGGAATTGCAGATGTTTTTCCTATTTTACTCCCACTAGATGGCACTAATCAGGCTTCAAAAATTGGATTTTAAAGGCTTTGACTATTTTAACATGAAATACTGCATTAATTGAAAAGTAATATAAAAATATATATTTTAAAATAATAATATTATTTTCAATGGGAAGAAATTTATCATAATTATTGCATAAATATTAATTAGTGAAATGAAATTATCTCAAAATACAAGAGAAAAAAAGAAAAAAATATTATAATAAATATAGAACAAAAACATGTTACATTGATTTTACTGGGGGGGGGTTACATTTTATGGGTTCACAAGATCATCGCCTCCTAGTGATGAATCATTAGATTTATTTATTTATTTATTTATTGCTGTAAATTAATCACATAATGCTAAACTGTGCATAATGTAAACCATAGGGAAACCACAGACGGTTGTCACTACCTGTTCTACATTAACAGAAAGTCATATTGTAATAGAAATAGGCCACAAAAGATAGATACATTTTCAATTTAATGTATTCCTCAGATTATAATTTAGTATAATATAGTTTTTTTTTTTTGTGCTGTTACCATGGGCAGGACTCAGAAGGACTAGACTAAACGATGCATCCTCACTAGAATACAGCCTTCCATTTGAGAAGCACCCCAGAGCTCGAAACAGTATGACATAATAAAGCCTTGGTTGCTGAAATCATATGAGTTTGCTAGTTTGATACAAAATCCAAACCAATGATTTAAAGCGAAAGACTTATAAATGTTTTGAAGCTTCATTAAAGAGTGTTTTAAATGTGACCATCAATACAGCTCACTAGATTTCAGAGTGCAGCAATACAGTGGGTATCTGCTGTGGGCTGTGTTCCGTTTTTCAGTCCCAGTCCAGCTTTGTTGTGACTTTATCCACATATTCGTGTCTGTTTGTGTGTGTGTATAAACAGAGACTGACAAAGAGAAATGAAATAGACTGTATCCGTATGCCCCACACTTCTGCAGAATTATTCTTCCTTTAATTTTTCATTCCTCACAGAATCTCCAATTATTCTGCATGACTGTGCGCCTTCAACCTCTCCTTCAAATGCACTTGCTCACCTTTCTCCTTCTCTCTCTCTCCATCCCCTTGTTCACATCCCCCTCCTCTCCCTTTAACCCCTCCCACTCCTTCTCTCATTCGCTCTCCTCCAACCCCTCCCCTCCAATCCCCCCATCTCTCTCTGTAGTGAAATGAAGCAGGAGCTGGAGGAGGAGGGTAGTCGCTGTTTGCTTCTGTCCAAGCAGCACAAGTTCAACGAGCACTGCTGCATCCGCTGCTGCTCTCCCTTTACCTTCCTGCTCAACCCCAAGCGCCCGTGTCTGGACTGCCACTACAACGTCTGCAAATCCTGCCGCACCTACAGTCAGAGCGAGAGGGGCTATATCTGCGCCGCCTGCCAAAAGAGCAGGTAAGTGTCCTCTGGCATACACGTACATGTGTGTAAATACATATACATAAGGATAGAGGGGCCATGTCTGTACTTCCTGGTAAATGAACATGTTACAAAATGCACAGTGTCATGCAATTACATCTGGACAAGGGAGACACCACACCTGCTGGTGTACATGGCAACGCACACATCGTTCAAGTAGATTGCAAGGGGCACATGGAAATAAGGAAATAAAACAAAAAATGTTTATAGCGTGATTTTGTTTTAGACACAGTATTGCTTGTTTATTTATAAGTGGCTTTTAAAATATAATGCTAAATGGTTTAAATATAATAGGTTTTAGGCACATTTTTCTGGTTTCGTGTTTATGAATAGGTGCTTGAGCATTATTGATGTAACTGTTGGGGTACTTAAGAAATAAAATATAATAGGTTGTTAAACCTTCTTCTGGTTTCGTGTTTATGAATAGGTGCTTGAGCATTATTGATGTAACTGTTGGGGTACTTAAGAAATAAAATATAATAGGTTGTTAAACCTTCTTCTGGTTTCGTGTTTATGAATAGGTGCTTGAGCATTATTGATGTAACTGTTGGGGTACTTAAGAAATAAAATATAATAGGTTGTTAAACCTTCTTCTGGTTTCGTGTTTATGAATAGGTGCTTGAGCATTATTGATGTAACTGTTGGGGTACTTAAGAAATAAAATATAATAGGTTGTTAAACCTTCTTCTTCATCAACTTGAACATCTTGAGGAGTTCCCCCTGAATTGAAATAACCTGCACTGTGAAAAGCTCTATGCAAATAAATCTAAATTTAAACTAAATTAAACCTAACCCTCAGAAATGTTTAGATATGTTGAAATTGGCACTAGTATAGTGAGTGTATGGAAATATGAAGCAAGAGGGTTGTCCAGAGTGAATGAGAGCTATTTGTGTATTATTATGGCAATACTGGTCCATGTCAGAAAATAAAGTGGGACTGATTATTAACAGGTTAACAGTTTTGTTTTTCAAACTAAGCAAGCATTATTATTACTTTTCAACATTATTATTATTATTATTATTATTATTATTAATATTATTATTTCTAGCATTTTTTGCATCAGCATTTTAAATATCTGGTGCATTTTTGTCACTTTCAGTGGCATATTTGCCTACAGCCGGTTAACATCTTACCCAGATATTTATTCATGCTTGAGCAGTAATAACCCTTTTTCAGCCCTGTTTGATTTACTAAATGCTGGCTTTTACGACTGCTGAATATGTACCCAGCCCTTTGGAGATTTGATGGTGTGTGTGACTGTGTGTTAGCATTTTTCACAAAGCAAGGCTGGAAAGATAGGAGAGAGCAGGAAGAATAAGTAGAGGTTGGACTAGCGAGAGAGATGGTGAGAATTTCTACAGCATATGTTGATTATTATTTATAGTTTTACTGGGTCATGTGGTCTAAATGCATGTGGGTTGAAAAAAAAATAATTCTGTCATTATTTACTTACCCTCATGTCATTCCAAACCTGAACTGTGATTCTTTCTGTGAGTTTCTCTGTTTTATTGGAGCTGTAACAATACAAGTGTGAGTAAAGAATAATAAGAATTACTCTTATTTTAGGTAACTGTCCCTTTAAAATGTACAGCAGTATGAATCAGTGGTGTGCAGCACAATATGAATCAATCAGGAAAATACATCCCATCATCCTTTGCTGTTTTTCGCTCATACTGTCTCTCACTGTCTTATTTGCTGTCTCCCTCTCTCTTCATATCTTTTTTTCTCTCACGTACACTCACTCCGTGCCCGAGGCGTGGATTCTCCACCAGGATTATTTCTCAGCGAGTTTCCTTTCATGTTCTTTCCATGAAATGTTTGCTGTATGAAAAATCTGACTCACAGATTTCATATTACCAGATATCTACATGTATTTCATGATAACAGCAAATAATGATTTCCTATGTCTCTTGCTGAGCAATATTTCAAGAGACGTACCCCGGCTTTCCACTCACAAAACTGATTACGGCAACAAGGAATGAAATTATGCGTTACTTGAAATGAATGCAGTTATGTAGTCAGATGGCCTTTTGAGAGAGCTGAGAATCACTATGCATAATAAGGAAAGCATTTTAATTGCTTTTGTAAAGAGCATATAATGGCATTTATATTGGGTTGGTAATTAAAGGAATGTTCTGGGTTCAAGACAGGTTAATTTCTATCAGCAGTGTCAGTGATATGTGTTACAGATAATGTTAATATTTCATTAACCCTGAACATTCTTTTAGGTAGGTGTATCATGTGCAAGTGCTCATGTGTGTGTATGAAAGAGAGAGAGAGATGCTGACTCAGATGTTACAGTCACACATCTCCACTCACACTTGCACTTAACACATTCAGTAAGACATCACAACAGTGTATGTTCCCTTTTAAATATAAAAAATGTGTATTTTCATGTTTGTGCATGTTTATGTTTATGCCATTATAAAGGTGAAGTGAGATTTGTCTCTTTGCACTGTCATTAAGTATCACTGTATCTTGTAAGCTCCAGACAGTAACACAGACGTGAGCGTTTGGATGGCGCAACGCACAGATGGTGAAATAATGTTGTGTGAGGTATTTAACCTTTGAAAATTCTGTCTAAGGAATATAAAGTTCAAAATATTTGTTCAACAGCATTTGTTTGAGATAAACGTCTTTACTTTCACTTTTTGTGAATTGAATCCATCCTTGTGGAATAAAAGTATTAAATTATTTGAAAAAAAAATCTTACTTTTTTTTTTAGTTTGAAATTTTGAATGGTACTGTCTTTTTATATTTAGGTTTAGGGAATTAATTTTAGTGTGTAACTTGTTCTGCACTACTGGTGATGCGGACATGAACAGGGGTTAAAGCAAAAAAAAATCCTGAGCCTGAACTTTTTTCCGGGGGGAGGGGATGGGGCAGCACATGCAAAGCATGCAACAACTGTCGCAACTTTAACATTTGAAAGGATACTATGGCAAAGTTATTGCTTTCCTTATTCAAACTGGTTTTTTTTTTCATGAATATATGGTTGACTTGAAGAGTGAAAGCTATATCATACACTTGGAAAATTATGAGCTATATCACTGCTTATCGACACTAGGGGTGTGACAATACACTTAGCTCACGAGATGACACAAAATACAGATACTTGGTTCACTAGAACAATACAATATTTTAATACTATGTTTAAGAAATTTTCAATGACAAAATATTTGTCTCTTAATTACAAAAAGTAAAACAATGCAGTTGTATTTGAAATATTTTAACTAATCTAGGGCTGTAACTAATTATTATTTTGGTAATCAAGTAATCTACTGATTATTTTGACAACTGAGTGATCTGATATTTTTTAGTAACACAAATAGACCTAAGTGAAAACGTCTCAGGTTACTTGTGTAACCATGGTTCCCTGAGTTTCCATTCAATTTTAATATTTGGCCTCATGCAAACTCAGAAACGTTTTTTTTGAAATTGCGAAGTACAATAAATGGCATATTTAGAAATACAATGTATTCTCCTGTGCTGGCAAAGGTTTATAAATGATTTACGTTACAAATCTATTGAGAAAATGCACATTTTTATAGATGAACATTAAGCAATTCAAATTCACAGCATATACAGAGGAAGAGATTAGCGCCTTTCACACATACAGTCTTTACTGGTAAACTACTGGTAAGTTACCATTAAGAGATCATGTGTGAACAGGACC